AAAGGAGTTCATTATGCTGCTTGGAAAGCAGTTCATTATGTTCTTTAACGGGAAGAGCATTGTCTCCTCAGAAGAACTGGTTTGTTACCAACAATTTTCTACTTCCTGTCGACATCTTATTCCACTCCAGATGTGTTCGTCTTTCGAAAATACAACATTTTGTTAAGATAAATTTCAGTTTCTCTAGACGTCTGGAATCACAGAAGAGAGTTCTAGTTGCTGTTGACTTAATAGTACATTTTTTCCAAAATATTGATAAGTTGTAGTTCCATTTTTCAATACTTACATTCAAATTATGGATTCTAGGGTTATTTATAAATGTAAATACTTACATCACCTAGTAACGGTAAACTCAATCTGAAAAATCCTTTTACATTTATCAAAAATGGCTGATGTAGACATTGTAGTGAGAAACCGGAGACGAGATCGTTGTAAGCTTTATTGCCGAGCGGTTTCGCCAACTTAAAGACGAGACCGCTAACTTGCATATTCTATAAGAAAGAGTTTAGTTAATGTTATTCTTAAGGGAGTCAGTAGGTTAGTCTTTTTTTAAATTTTAATATAATACTGCTCGTCGTTCGGAGCGCTCGGAGCGCACCTCAAACTTTAAACCAACAACGGACATGACTCCGGTCGAACTATTCAACCGATTTGCTTAATTTTTTTTAAATGTTTCACGAAACGCCTGGCTATCGTCCCTACGTTTTTTTATAATTTATTGACAACGTTATGACAAAATTTCGCTAAAAAAAAACTGGGAAAATTAAAAAATAGCGTTAATTACTTTTTTATTTATCAACATTTTTTCATGATTCTAGTAGGAACGATAAGCATTCAAGTACTTTTTAAGGTTTTTGTGTTTCAGATGATCCAAACATGAGAAATTGTGAAAGCATCTCATTCACGCAGCCATTTCTCCGACAGATGTCATCAAAAAAATCCGAAAAAATTTGTTTACATTTGCACCCCACGTTATATGTATATGGGGAAAAAATTCTTTTGTAGAGTAGATATTTCTATGAAAAAAAAACCTCAAAAACAAGCCAGATTACCCTATTGACCCCTTAAAGCTTTGAGCACTCACGTATTGCCTCGTTTTCTCAGCAGTGATCAGCAATGTTACGGCTAAAGTACTTAATCTCAACATGGTCAGCGCATCGTACATGAACTGTCCGAAACGGAAACCACGGTTTAAGATTTCAATGCACCAAAAAATGTTGGCTACCACAGTGAAGAATGTAGTAAATAGCAAAACAATGATGGACCAACCATAGCAATCGCCCACACATTGATACAACTCACAGAGCCGTCCTTGCAGCAGACGTAAAAAGTTCATTCTTTCATATTCCCACGCCGCATAGGGTTGCCACACATCACTAGTGTATTTATGTTTCGGACGATTAGCTTTAACCAGTAAACGCAGCAAAGCGATCAAACCGCGTGCGCGTACATTTTGACGCTCAATCGTAAGCGAGATTTGTGCATAACGGGCTCGTTCGATTGCCAGCATTGGCAATACGTAGTAAAATACCGGCGACATGTAGCATTTGTAGGCAAGCACGAGCTGCAGGATGTCGTATACGAATTGCAAAAGCATACTGTGGAATACTTTGAGCCAGATTTTTCGTTCTAATGCCTCTGTATTGTCGATATGTTTTCGTAGTAATGCATCCACCTCAATTTCCAGACGTTGCAGCTGCTGGCAGTGTTTTGTCTTACAAATGGATTCGACGTAGGCCACTATGTTCGTTAACATTTTGAAGACAAAAAAGATACTGCCGACTATGTAATCGAGCCTTTCGATTGTTTCCGCGAATATTTCATACATAACATCGTAGCCGAGTTTTATTAGCCAAGCGATCCAAACTACCCGACAAATGGACGTGAACCATGTGAGACGTGGCATGGGTTGCAAAAGTTCTAAATACATTATCATTAAATAGAAGTAACGAGCAAAGCTTGCGAAAATATTACGATAGTACATATTGCTTAGACCGTGTGTCAACAACTAGCGCTTGGGGCCAAGCGCCTTAAGTTGATTGAGTTGGGAAGCTCGAATGACTTTGTATAAACAATAAAAAGTGCAAGCACAGGCCATAAAATCTTTATCTTAAACGTCTGGTGAATTGCAGGCCATTATCATCGCCATATTAAGTGCCAAATAATTGGAATAATAATAAAGTTTCGGCGCAATTATCTTTTTGGGTTAAGAAGGTCGCACCATAAAGCCATCTAATATAAAAGTCAGCCTATTTAAGTGATAAATTATCGCAATGGTTGCGCTGAGATTAGATCTCAGACGTTTTTGAATTCGGCAGAGTAATAGAGGGGAAGCTAGATATTATTAGATACGTTAAGTGACGGTCAAAACATTCCTTGAAGCTTCTGTTTTTTAGGCTTTTTCTCTCCCTATGATGAGGTCTGAACTTGCGTTTTAGCACTGGACTCCCATGCGACGACTTCTTACCGAACGTAAATTCTCGAAGTTGTTTGGAAGAAGGTGAGGTCGAAACATCCAGACACTTCATCTCAGCAGTCATACCGTCTGTGAACCAGGAAACATATTCAAAACTGTAATAAGTCGCCTCAAAAAATGTGACTTTGTCGATTTATGAGGATCTTTATAATCAATTTTGTAGGAGTTTAGGGATCATAACGAGTCAACGTCCCTATTAGAATCTAACCCAACCTAACCTAAGAAGAATATTAAAAAGAAGTAATATTTTAATGAAATATTTTTTATTTCTGTTTCTACACCTAAAGTGCGTCTGATTAGTACTTCTAAATGAGATCATGTTTTAGACACTCCTTTCAGTTTATTGCTAATTATCATCGCTCATGTGAAACTGTATTAGTATTATCAGGTATGTTGTTGTAGCGCCAGCGATCTGTAAAATAAGTAATAGTATTCAAGTTGTCCATTATATAATTACATTTGTGTGTTCTCACTGTATATAGTAATGAACAATTGATATCAAAGAATCCAGCGGCTGAGAAGGCCAACTTTTGATGTAAGAGTTGTAAAGAGAATTGCTCGATCTGCAAGACAAACAGAAACTAGCTTGGTAATTAGTAGAAAGTATAAAGTGTGTTGCCTCTGAACTGTTCGCTACCTAACGATGTATCAGACAAGGCGACTCCCTATCGTGCGACTTCTTCAAACAGAGAGCAGAGCTTAATTGAGAAGTAAAGTCATCTCTCGATGAACAAACACCAAACTTTATAAGTTACTTACTCATTATTCCCGTTCAGCTATATGGAGCAGAGTTATGGGCGATGACAGCATCTAATGAGTCAACGTTACAGGTTTTCAAGAGAAAAGTTCTACCGAAGATTTATGGCTCTTTGCGCATTGTTAACGGCGAATATCGCATTCGAACGAAGCGCTGTATGAGCGGCTACGCTAGGTAGATCGTAACATCCGAATGGATGTTAAATGCTCCAGCTATGAAAGTGTTCGACGCGGTACCCGCCGACGGAAGCAGAGGTAGAGAAAAACATCCATTGCGTTGGAGAGATCAGTTGTAGAAGAGCTAGCTGCGTTTGGTATCTTGAATTGGCGCCAAATTGCGAAAATAAGAAATGACTGGCGCGCTGTTGTAATCTCGACTCTAACCACGTAAGTGGTGTCTACGATAATAAAGAAGAAGAAAACTTCCGAATATGACCAGTATTGTGAAGATGTCGATAAATTCGGACAGGTGGCTGCTTTTGACCAAATAATGAAGTTTTCATCTGGTCAAGATATATAAGAGAGAGAATTTGATGTAGTGGGAGAGAAAATACAATAAGAATAGAGTAATGTATGTTGGCCGCTTTCGGTCTATGATTCATGACGAGTAAATATTGATAAATTCGATTATTAAAAATATTTATTTGAATAGCCTGTGAACAGCTTTGAGAGTGTATTCTGCTATTGAGTCTACCATTAGGAGAGACAGTGCAAGTTACATCTATACCATTTATATATACATATTATTATATTTATGGACTAGTCTCACTTTTCGAAAAAGATTTATCAAAAAAGTTATTCTCAAATTTTTTACTCACCACGGTGTTATGGTTATCATTCCAAATATTAGTTTCGATGCGATGCAAGCCCATAGCAATTGCCGTAGTCTAAAATTTAGATACTAAAATGTCTAAGTGAGATAAATTAAATTACTTTTGCACTGTACTCACCCGCTGAACCGTACGCTCACAGAGCATTGCTAACATTAGTACGTTGAAGAGATGCGTGATGGACCAGATGAGGTTGCTAGAGATTTGCAGGAAGTTTTCTAGTGATGCTGAGAAAGTATTGAATTGCAGAAAAATCCAATAACAATTCGTGGTGATGGATATAAAGTCATTGCCCACATTGGTCAATATTGAAATGCCAAAATTTTTGTTGACTGTGGCCGTCAGCTCCCACAAACGATTGTAGAGATCACGTATGATGAGCAAACGCTTCACATCTGTATTCTCCATATCATACTGATGTTTCAGATACTCGGTTATTTCGTAGACTGTCGTTGCTTGTGTTATGAATTTTATACTTGTATTTGAATTGTCAGCCGTATACTGCTTCGGCTTGCTATTCAACAGATTTAGTTCATTAATGACCGTTACTAGTTTATCTAAGCGGTGACGCACAATCATAATAGCGGTAAATATTTGAAAATAACGCACTCCGCAAATTAAAAATGGCAGCATATAGAATAACCAATATATGGGGAAGTTCCGACCACAGGCGAGAAAATATACCAACAATTTCAAAGCTTCGACGCTGACAAATATAAAGATCATAACGACACCGCGACGCAAAATTTTCTGGCGAAGGTGGCTAGAAGAAAGAAAGTGAAAGAAAGGCCTTAAATAGTGAAGAAGTCGTCCAAATGCATGAAAACGCACTAGATCTAAAAGTAGTCGACACAGTACCCGCCGGGAGAAGTATAGGAAGAGAAGGACCTCCACTTGATATTGATAAAGGTATAGTATGTGATAGAAAGAAAGACTACATTACATAAGAAATGGAGATTACAAATATATAATATACCATATTACGAGAGATGAGCGAGCTAGTTAAGAACTCTGTGGCACAAAAGTGACTCCCAAGGAAAAACAAATATAATGAATCGCAGAAAACATGTTTGTTTTTTATAAACTGAAGGTGATTGCGCTGAACGGAAACCGATTGCATATGCGCGGTGTCCTTTGGTAGAAAATCGGTATTATGGCAAAATTTCCAACGATTCAAAGGAGCTTCCGAAATAGCTTTTTGATGCAAAATTATGTTTCGGAAATAGTACTAGCCTCTTCTAATCTTCTTATATCTAAAGGATATTTAATTTAATCGATAGCATAAAGAAATAACGGAAGGAGAAATGAGGTACATAAAGAGATGAAAACTGGTATTCGTGTGCCTATGAAAGCTCTTCAATCCAAATGTTCCGAGGGGTGAAATGCCGTTACCTTGAGATTATTTTATGTATGTAAGTATAATGTAAAGTCTGGTTATCGTCGAGAATACAGCTGAAAAGGCACGGTTGACTCTATCCTATACAGAGAGCGCGCGAAATCTCTTTGGCCCGTGCCGGATCGTCTAGCCTCCGACACTCAAAAATAAGAAGAAATTAAAAAAGAAACCTCCCCTGTATCCACATATTTTTCACTTACCCGTTATCCACGTGTACATTTAGTGAACATTCGAATATACGATCCAATTCGCGTACTTGCTTTATGAAAGTGTTTTGACCGTGCCGCCGCAGAAATGCTTCCAAAACTGAAACAAAATGCGCCACACGTATGCCCATCAATTGTATATAGTCTAATCTATGGCCGACATCATTAACCGACATACGAAAGTAATCACCGTCACTAAAGATGTCTAAAATTAGAATGGCGAATGCAATGAGGAGCGTACAAATAGCATAACATTCGAGCAGTCGCGAGAGATAAAATTTGCCGGTTTTACGTTCCACCATCCATAGTGATAGCGCGCTGAGTTGCAGGCACCTATGCAGAGCACCCAGTGACTTCAAGATGTCCATTGTGTGTGCTTCCTTAGAATATTGTTTACCTAATAGGCTTGACAGCAACTTTCACTTCATGGATCCAACGAGGAACTGCCCTTCGTGGTTTTGGAATAGATGCTTGTGAAGGAAATGTGGCAATACAAATATATATATATATTTCTTTCATGACTTTTAATGGCTGCCTAATATAATTACTCTGCCGAAATTGTGATAAAATGCTTAGATTGCACTAATAGGTTTCTCCGCCTTACTAGAAAAGCAAGAACCAATTAAATCATGATTGAGTCTCTGACACAATTGGACAAAAAGGCACACTATTAGAATCTTTGCTGACTAAGTAGCTTATAATGTTCTGGTACCTGTTATATCCATACAATTTTCGATAATAAATAGAGATATATTTGAAATGATGCAGATTGGGAACCAGGAGCGATTTTTGCCAACACTTTGGGTTAAGAGAACTTTTAGGAACAGATAATTTCGATCAAAATTCCTTGAACATCTTTCGAGCGAAAGCTCCCCTATTAATATTATGAGTTTAGAATTTACTCGTTCACTAGAATCTACAATGCTTAACCAAGAATGACGTAAACAAATCAGAAGCTCATCGTATCGCATCGGAACTTTATTAGTTATAAGTACAAGAGAGTTGATAGGCTTAGAAATTAAAGATATTTATAATTTCATTCATTTATCAAGGCATCAAGTACAGGGGTTGTCTTGATGGTGACAATAATATACAAATCGTTTGAAAGTTTTGAGTCTCTTAGCTACGCTAAAGAAGAAATATCTAGAAACGTTCTCAGCTTTGTCGAGCTTCTACTCCCCACTGTGGTGCTTTGCTTTCAGTAAAGATTATTGACGTTTTCAGCTTTTTACGACTGGCTCGAAGCTCTGCAAGTTATTTTTCTTTTATCTAGAAGGACGTTTGCGAGACGTTTGAAAATACCTTCTGTAAAGCTTACGGTGCTGAGACCTAACTCGATCTTCGCCCAAAATTTAGAGAGCTTCCCGCTACATAAAAAAGGTATATATGTATTTTGAAGATGAGAAATAGAATGACGACTATATGTGTTCTACACTCTATTTTATTTTAAATGTAATCATTATAATTTTTTTGTCCATCGAAGAGACTAAAATACTTAAAATTACTTCGCAAAGCTTGCTTTACCGCTGGGTTTGCTTAGCTTTTATAAATGGCTTGTTGTCTCTAACTGGCTAAGTCGTGTGACAGAGCATTGGTGATGAGTATTAAGCTCATCCATCATCATTAAATGAGTAAGTAAATGTAAGGAGTTCAGTACTACTATCTCTTGCGGCACTCTCACAGTGCAGTACGCTAGAAAGAGAGATCGGCGAGTGCTGAAAGAGCAAATATTGAGATAAACAGGAGTATAAGTGCGGTATGCGGTACATATTACATATTTGAACCGTTAGAATATATTTCCGAAAAAAGCTTGTCTGAATGAACTGTTAATACAGCGTTAGTAGGTTACTCTGTTTGATAGAGCAGAAAGTAAATGTTTGTCAAGCATCTCTATTACAAAAGATACGGCCATAATAACTCCATGCGTTTGTTATTACAGAAGTTCTACAGCTCAAAATCTGACGATAAATTTAATAAGTATGAATATTAGGTACATTGCTTAGATTATTTCACTAAACGGTTTTCCTCTACAAATCTTTTCTCATAAAAACATTAATTTCTTTCAAACAGCTCAATTTATTTAACTGTCTCCTTTTTATATAGAGCCTATAGTAGATGAGTAGTAAGCGGGTTGATTATAATTATTAATATTAATCATTTCAAATATAAAATATTAAGTATTTGCATTATCTCTTATTTGAATATGTATAGATTTTCTTTAAACATACAGAAATTGTATTAACACCACCAGATATGAGGTCACAGTTGCTAAAATCTGTAGAAAGGAATATTAAATGTTACAGAAATATTTTTCTGAAGCATAATGTATGTAATGTATCGCTCACCGCCATTACCAAACGCAAGTCTAATATAAAGAAATTCCTGCCGGTCACTACAATGCACTGCAGCTCTAACTGTGTGGAGAATTGCTGCAATAAAGTGCGATAAGACCGCATGGACTGCGAAGAACTCATAATTATTAACCGACGCAACCTAGCGGCTAACAAGCGATCCTAGAAGTATGCTTCGAAATGATTTCAGATTATAACATTTGCCTTGTGCTTACCAGTTGCGTGCAATTATAGCACAGATAACAAATATGCCAAATGGTGGCGGTCATAGGTACCATCCACCAAAAAGCTGGCATATAATAGTCGGAACTCTCCAGAAAGCCCTCATAGCCTAGCAGCGCAAAATATAGCCCAGAAGCATAGTCCATGATATAACAGGTTATTATGATGAAAAGTGACCAGCCAGCGAATTCATTGAGCAGTTCGAATGCCTTATAGAGTAAATCGTAGATATCCTTAATGGCCAAGAGATATGCCAAAGTTTGCAGTTTTTCATAGTTAACATCCAACAGCTGTTGGCTTGGCGCCGTACGGTAGACAACAAGCTGTTGCAATTTCATACAAAGACATTCCATATAATTTCGCAACACAAACACGTAAATACATAACTGTATGATACGTAGACGAATGATTATGTTATACCAAATGGCGTGCCAAAAGTAACCCAAATGTTGCAATTCCATAAAATTATACACCGCAAGGCCGAAGCAGATGAGCGATAGCCAAAGCAGATATTTTAGGTGCCAACGTGCACGCGACGGCCAACGAGCCAATTTAATATCCTCTCGCAACCGCAGCTTCAGTGAGAATTCAATTTCGTGTAACAGTCCCAAGAATGCTTCCTGTTGCCGTTGACACCATAGTCCTTCGGCTACAATGACTATACTAGATAACGCTTGTATACTGTAGATAAGAGTACACGCTGCCTCGCTGGCCAAGCCTGGTATGGGCTTACGCGCAGCGAGTGCTCTCACATAGGCTACGCAAAGTCCAACTAATAGCAGGTGTAGGTAAATCTCTTTCAAACGTTGTTTTGGTAAGATTTTTTTGCGCTCAAGCCAAGCCAGCCGCTGGCTGCGCGCTGTTGATCTGTCGTTTGTGTACTGCATACTCGGTGTTGGACTTATGTAGAGACCGAAGACGAGCGAATAACGTAACCAAGCGCGCAATTGTTGCTCCATTTCGCGTAGACTTCTTTGCTGTACTAACTAAACCATTCGAGCTAATTTGGAGACTAATATTCCTTTAGCGTGTTATTTGATTGACATATACTTTAATAGATTTATGCGATAATGAAAAATTGCATTTCCATAGTATTAATTATATAACAGTGTTGATGTAAAAATTGCACAAGGAGCACCGCCCACTTTTAGGTAAAATTTCATATCAAAGCAACTATTTGAACTATATTATTTTGAAATCCTGATATTGCAGTTAGTGTTAAATTTGACAAAATCAGATTATAAAAACACCTACTTTCCATAAAACACAATTTTAAATAGGCTCAAAGCCAGTAACACGGTAGTACAGACCATTACCAAATTTTAGATTATCTAAAGAATGTGTAGTTCCGTTCTTGAGAGTTTCCGCATACTGCTTCAGACCCCATTGGCTTAAAAGGGAAGTAAAGGTTGATTATGCTGATGAGCTTATTAGGATTGTGATAGACAGGGAGAAAAAGGAGTGTTAGTTGACTACTATTGCTACCTATAAATAAAAGAATTCTAGAAGTCTTGCTTGATTGCTTCATTTTCTTACTACTTTCCTTAAAGACTCACCACAACTTGAGACCAAGCTCTCATTATTGGATACTATTCAAAAGAATGGACCACGTTATTCGCCATTTACCAGTCGAAGTGCTCGAACGAGTCATAGAAAACTGGAGTCAACGGATAGACCATCTGAGACGTAGCCGTCCAAAATTTGAAAGAGATAATCTTCAATAAATAAATGCCTAAAAAACATACTCCATTACATTTGAGGTATCTGTTTTTGTTTTTAGAAAAAGTAGGAAACCTACAACTGGATTACCCTTTATTAATATGTAAATATTCTTAAAGAAATTATGTGAAAGCATAGCTTTGATGGGTACATACTTTAGTTTAATGTTATAGGAAAGAAATAATAACTTAACTTAACTTAACTTCTAAAAAATATTTTTTTTATGCTCTTGCTTTCGATCGTTCAGTTTGTATGCCAGCTATATGCTTTAGGGATCCGATCTGAACAGTTCCTTCCAAGATAATAATCCATATTAAATTTCTTGAATATATCTTGCCAAATGCTTAAGATTCCCGACTACCTAAGGGCTGTGGTGGAGCTGCTTCAGCAGCAAGAAATTGCTTTACGAAAGAGGGACCACGACAGATAGCGGTCATGTCAGGAGCAGCACAGGGATCCATTCTAAATCCAGACTAATGTAACATTAGCAATGACGCCATTTTAAAACTAGCAATGCCAGATGAATCCTATTTAATTGGTTACGCGGACGACATTGCAGCAGTAATCACAGCAAGGGATACAGAAGCAGCAAGGAAGGTCATACAGACGCAAGCATGGCTCGACTCAGACAGCCTCCCGCGCGCTACGGAGAAAACAAAGCTACTACTGCTAACAAACAAGCACATACCCCTCGAGATAAGCATGTACACAACTACAGATACTCTTATTACACAAAAAACATTAAACTACGGATACCTAGGCGTAAGATTAGACTCCAGACTAACCTTCTGGGTACAAAGCCAGCGCGCCGCAGGAAGGCAACCAAAATCTCCTCTTAACTGAGCCGACTAATGGCCAACATAGGAGGCCTCAGCCAAAAAAAGAAAAAGCTCCTAATGTCGACAGCAATCAAAACCTTATTATACGGAGTGTAGATGTGTGCAGACGTTCTTAAAAAGGAAAACCGGCGTAAGATAGTAGCCAGAGTGCACCGGACCGCAGCCCTCAGAGTTCCATCAGCCTTCCGAACAGTGTCCAGCTATGCAATACAAGTTATATGCGGAAACGCCCCAATTGACCTTCTAGCATACGAAAGGAAAACAAGAGCGCAATAGAACAAACAAAGAAAGAAACAATGACAACATGGCTACAAAGATGGGAAACTGAAAGTCGCGGCATATGGATTGTCAGGCTTATAAAAGATCTAGATTTATGGAGAAGCCTTAAATACGGAGAAGAAGGTTTTTACACAATCCAGCAGTTATCCGATCGTGGATACCTCAACAAGTACTTCTACAGAATGGGAATAGTCGAAGAGTTGTCATGCCTATACAACGACGCGACAGAAGACGATGCTGAACACACATTCTTTGAATGTACGCTGGCAACGAGAACGCACCGCCGTAGAAGACGTATTCGACCCAATAAACGCGAACAATTTAATCAGCGTCATGTCGGTGAGTGCAGGAATCTTGCTACACAGCAAACAGCGGGGCCGCTCTGAAGTAATGCAAATGCCGTCGCAGGGTGGGCGATGGTTCCTTAGAGGGAGTGCTTTTAGAGACCTGCAAGTGGCACGTACCGCTGCTGTGACGATAGCACCGATGATGCGGAGGCATTTTCCATCCCCTCCCCCGAAATGAAAAGTCAAATGAAAAAGCTTCTTCTCCATACAAGCACTTGGGCCCGATCGTTTAGTTTGTGTGACAGCTATATGCTAGAGTGACCCGATATCGATGTACTCTATAAATGAGCAGCTTCGTGGTAGAAATTTCAAAAAGACCCAGCTCGTCATGCGGATCATTTATAAACATACCATATACATTTTATAGGTTCTCCTTAAGTGTTAAACGCTTCGTGGCAAATCCGGTAAGGGTATAAAAATAATCGTATATATATGAGAACCACCCTAACCTCTCCCAACTTTTTAATACATGCAAATAATTTTTTATGCAAAAAGATACCATCCATTAACAAATATTTGCACACACGCGGAATTTCATACTCAACTTGCCGTCGATTGTAGAGCAAATCCGCGAAGCATTTGCAAAACTCGAGCGTAAAATGGAACACGCACTTCGGCACTGGCTCCGCTTGTGCATGTTCTTCGGTATTTACCTGCGACAACCTAAACCAGCGTTTGCTGTGGCGCGAGGCACACTTACTCTGCCAACAGAATCTCACAGCGCTCACAGGGACAAGTGGCGCCTGCTGAAGCCATCGCATTGTCACCTCTGCCTCATAGCGTTGACGCTATGCGTGGTTTACGTGCACGGCTTACGCGGCTGTGGCGGTCTGCCAACGCTGGTGCTCACTTGGGTGGCCAGCGTCATACTCTTCAGCCTGCAAGTGCTCACCAATCTGCTGATACTTATGGAAACCGTACGCCGCCGTGCGCAACACGCCGCCTTTCTGCAGAATCTCGCGGCGATTGAGGACGCGCTCAAGCTGCGTTTGCATGTGAATGTGCAAAAACGTGCGCTATTGCATGAATTACACTGCCTGATCGGCTGTTTTGCGTTTTGCTCACTCGTTGGCCTGCTGCTCTTCATTCTAAGCACACATTGGTTGAATTACATTGGCTTCTTCTGGCATGGACTCTGGTCCATACTAACAATGCGTGTACGTATTATACAATTGTTGTTGTACGTGCGCATCTTGCTACATTATATGGAGTGTCTCTACGCAAAATTGCGTGAAATTGTGGCCTATCGCTTGGCGTCAGCGGAGTTGCTGCTCGATATCAACTACGTTAGATTGGCTTCGTTGGACTCGCTGTTGGCCGTCAAGGAGACTTACACGCTGATTTATGGCGCGTTTCATATGCTTAACCACTTTGCCGGCTGGTCACTCTTTGGCATTGTCAATTGTTATATGTTTGATGTGAGCTGCAATGTATATTGGACGCTGCTAAGTTTGGATGGTTACCAGAATAGGCGCTACTATTACGTGGCGGGGCCGGTGGCGTTGCTGCCGTTGCTCGCAATCATTTGCTATTTGTGTTTTTTATGTGATAGATGCCAGGAATTGGTAATAATGCGCAACAGCGGCTGTTTATTTAAATGTAAACCAAAACTATTGTGTACTTTTAGGCGCGTCGCATCACTTTCCAACTAAACAAACTGAAAATGTTGCGTACAAAGCAGTCGCTGACGCCATATCGGCTGGTCTTGCAACAAATTTCCGCACAAATACAACTACAACAAATTGAAGTAACGGCACAAAACTTTTTCGTCTTGGAACTGCGTCTATTGATGACCGTAAGTGAGATAACTCTGTGGTCATAAGGTGAAACCGGTAATGCAATTTGAGAAATTTTGAAGGAGAGCGCTTGGAGTATCTGAAATAACAGTTTTAGCTGTTGTTACTTGTGGTCATAGAAGTATCTTTTCAACTCAACTAAAATTAAAACCAAACTGAATTAAATGTCATACTGAAATTTTATACAATTCTCTTTGTAGATCTTCTCTGTGACTTCAACAAATTTGGTAATACTGGTGCAATTTCTTTGCTTGGAGCTGGAGTTGTTGAGCTTATCTTGAAATCTATTAAGCAATGTAGAGAAAATGAGCGTTTAAGTAAATAGAAACACACTGAATTGACAATGAGGCTATAAATATTTATCTCTGAGCGACTCTGAAATAAAATTATGCATCGAGTACTAGAAAGATTAACACTGGGTATGATTTCAATTCGCGAATTCATAGGGATACGTCGGAAGAGATTTTATTTCGACACTTTCTCGCATATATTTACAGCAATAAATTAACGACGAACTTTAATGTTTCTTTTAATGCAAAAGTCAGCGATCCCAAAGCATTCTTGAGCTCTTACAAGTCCTTTGCTCAAAGGCTTGTTTTATAGTTCTCGCGTTTTTCTTGAATATACATACATCAATTCCAAACTTCATCCAAAAAACTGATGAGCTTTCGAAAGGTTTCAACAAAAATACGCCATAAAGTTCAGACTAGGCCTTCCACTCTCTAGGCTAGTAAACAGACTAATCCTTTATGCCAAAATGCAAGTAGAACTGTACCAACAATGTTCTCACAATTGGTTGGTTGAAGATACAATAGCTTTTAGGATTCAGTGAGATACACAAATCCCAAACATCATTCAAAGTACTGACGTACTAAGTACTTTTTGAGACGTTCAACAAAAATACGTCGGGAAGTTCAGAATGTATGAATTATGTATATACGAGTTTAGGTCTCCTCTTTCTCTGCTTCCTAGGTGGATACTGCGTCTAATACTCTCTGAGCTGGATTGTTTTCATCCATTCGCATGATATGATTTAGCCAGCTTAGCCGAGTACGTATTTCTGTTAGGCGGAGTTTTGGCATCCAAGAACAACTAGGAAGCTGCACGAGACAATAAACAATTCGAGATCAATAGAAATAGCTTATAATACAAGAACTGCTAGTATAGCTGGTACAGTTGTATTTTGCCCTTACTTCAAATATCGACTCTTAGATAAATGTTATCAGCAGTATCAATCAAAGACCAATAACGTCGGTATTAGAGTTCAAGTGTTATACTAAAATGAAATAGATTGCATTAATAACCAAACCAAACAAACGAATTGGGATGGTTTTCTGCCTTTTACTTTGGCATTCCTTCATATTGATGTTTTTTGACTACCAAGAAGATACTTGGACTAAAACCGGAAGGCGTGAGCTGATTGAGCCATATGTAAAATATTCGCTTCTGGGCACTCCCAAGTGAATGGTGTTCACAAAACTTTCCTCACTTGCGTGAACTTTTGCGCATGGCTTCATGTCAGCCTCGAAATCCAACGCAGAATAACGCTGGTGCTACTTCAGACTGATTAGGCAATTGAGAAGTAAAGTCCTCTCTCGACGAACAAAAACCAAACTCTATAAGTCACTCATTATTCCCCTTGTGCTATATGCTGCATAGACATGGGCGATGACAACATCCTTTGCGGATTGGCAACCTCGAGTATCGCAATCGATGGAACCATGAGCTGTACGAGTTACACGACGACATTGATATTGTGTGGCGAAATGGCGTCCAAATGGTGGAAAACAAATCAGCACTGAAAGTATTCGTCACAGTAACAACCGGTGGAAACAAAGAAAGAGAGGGACATCCACTTCGTTGGAAAGACTAATTGGCGAAGGGCCTGGATACATTTCGAATCTCCAATTGGCGTCCAACAACGAAGACGAAGAACGACTGGCGCGCTGATAGCCGTAAACTGTGTCTACGCAAATTAAGAAGATGAAGGTGACTAACAACCACACCTCATGGGGATAGCGCTGGAACTGTGGACAAAAGCTTGTTATTAAGCTGAGATATTAAATCTGGACATTATCAAAACGTCATTTTCAGAAGCTTTTTTTAAGGTTAACACTTTCATGAGTTTAGTTGGGGATTTTAAAGGCCACACATCGACTATAAAAATATTTGAGAGCATCAATGAAAATTCAATTAAAAAAATATAGTTAATATAGTTAAATTTTTTTTAAATTTAGTTTTTTAAATATAGTTAAAATTGTTTTTTAATAATTAAAAAGCAATTAAATCGAAATTTCGGTCAAAACATAGAAACCTGCAGTCGTTACGTCACATACTCGTACAAATATATTTCCCAATACTATTCGCTCCATTAAGTATTCGTGAAAAATAATTGATTGATTTAATATTAACGTATATTCTGCTTGTCAGCTCTGCAGCTGTCAATCTTTATCAATAAGCCGATATTTTTGCAGCGTTGTGTCCGCTGAAAATAATCGTATAATCTTACTTAGTTCTTACTAGCCTTTTAGTATTTTACCACGAATTCACGCAGAATGGAGCAGCAATTCCGCGCTTGGCTACGCTACTCGCTCGTCTTCGGCTTCTACATAAGCCCAACGCCAGACGTCAGTAAGAAATCAGCGCAGGCAACCAGCTTCTCACCCACCAATCACGGTTTTACATGTTCACTGCAGCGTTTAAAAAAGTTCTACCTGTATGTGCTGCTGGCCTGGCTATGCATGCTCTACATGAATGGTCTGGCTTCGCGCAAACCCATACCTGGCACTATGCTCAGCTGGACCGTGGCGACGTTGTTTTTTAGCTCACAAGCGCTCTCCAATATACTCATAGCGGCCGAAGGAATCTGGCGTCAGCAGCAACACGAGACGTTCCTGCGGCTGCTGCACGAAATCGAGTTCTCGCTGCGGCTGCGGCTCAGACTGGATATCAAATTGGATGTGTTTCTGCCACGTGTGCGTCAGCTGTTAAGATTTCAGCTTTGGCTTTCCGCCATTTGTGTGCTTATATTCGTGTATAATTTTATTAAATTGCAATATATTGGCTACTTTTGGTATTCCATTTGGTTTGCGATTGCGATGCGCTTACGCTTAATACAGCTGCTGATCTACGTGTGTGTGTTGCGTCATTACATGCGTTGTCTTTGCTTGAAGTTGGAACAGCTTGTTGCCTACCGTACGGCGCCAAGCCAGCAGCTGTTGGATGTTAACTACGAAAAACTGCAAACATTGGCTTACCTATTGTCCATTAAGGATATCTATGATTTACTGTACAAGGCATTCGAGCTTCTCAATGCGTTTGCCGGCTGGTCGCTGTTTAGCATCATTTTCTGTTATATGTTGGACTATGGTTGTACGCTCTACTGGGCGCTGCTCAGCTGGGAGGGCTACCTCGAACGTCGTAACTATTATGTCGCGTGCTTTTGGTGGCTGCTGCCCATGACCATCATCATCTGGCATCTCTGTTATTTGTGCTATAATTGCAAACAGTTGGTGCGTACGCAAAAAAATTACAAGTAATTATGCCGTAACTCCTTTCTCTGCATAATTTCAGGATCGCTTGATAGCTAGCATGTTGTGCCGCATAATCGTTGCGGGTTCCTCGCAATCCATGTGCGCTTATCGCATGTTGCTGCAACAATTCTCTACACAACTGCAGCTGCAGTGCATCGAGGTGACCGCAAGAAACTTCTTTACACTGAACATACGCCTGATAATGTCGGTAAGCCTAAAGGTATACTTAAATAAAATGTGTGTGGCAGTATTAATTGCTTTTCTTTGTAGATTTTTACGTCTACAGCGACTTATTTAGTGATAATACTACAATTTTTAAATATTTAATTTTCAATTTAAATTTCAAGTTATTGAAAAATTGTAAAAAAAAATGTTAACCTCGATTATATCGAGTGATTTGTGAACAAATAAACAAGTTTCCATCAAGGAACGTAATGTTAATCGATCAATTTGTGTGACAGAGGTACATGGTTAAATGGCTAAATCGACTTAGCTTGTCACGTGATTACTGAATTGTATAGGGTCTCTATTTTAGTTTTATAAATACTTCTCTCTCCATTTTATTGCTAAAAAATTATTTTAATTTTTTCTTTATTCTTTGACAGTCAGTTGAATCTACTTTTCTGTTACTGATTTTTTTCTTCTTATAACATATTATATTAATTATATTATAAGTGTGCTGTTTTGCGCACTTCAGACTTAATTTCTATGTAATTCCATATCGTTCCTTTACACAATTTACAATTTATTTCATTCCAAATGTTCCGATGACATGTTAGAGCGCCTATGCATATTATTCCATTTATTGTTTCAACTTTGTGTTCCAATTCCAAATCATTCCTTCATATGGTACACATTTTTACCTGCATTATTTTTGTAATTAGCATTGCCATTATGTATGTTGTTCCAATTCAAATCGTTCCTTCATATAGAACACCTTTGTTTTTGCATTATTTTTTAATTTGCTTTTCCATTACACCAAAATTTTAACTTTTTCTAACAAGCTCCATGCATGTTATTTCATTTACTGTTTCAATTTAGTGTTCCAATTCCAAATCGTTCCTTCAATGGCACACATTTATTTTTGCATTATTATTTAGTTTGCTTTTCCAATTCTACCATCGTTCCTTTACATTAAAAAAGTTGTTCCCGCATATATTTTCTTTAATTTGCTTTTTCATTTACTCATTTCCATACTTTTTGGCTCTTCTTTTCTCAATTTCTCATAATAATTTGCTTAGTTCGTTTGGCATACTTTTTATTCGATTTTCGCTTGGCTTATTTTATTATCTGTCTATCGTTTTCAAAATACTTGTTTTGTAGCTTGTATTTTTATTATGTGTTGTTCCATTTCATATCGTTTCAATACTTTTAAGATTCTTGCCTGAAACAGTTTCTAATACGGTCGTAACAATTTAGTCATAGTAGCAAAACGTTCTGATTCCGTTTCGTTCCGCCACATAGGGCTTAGTAAATTCATTTTACTACAAAATCTCTTGAAAATACAATTGCGTTCCGATTCCATTTCGTTCCGCTATATTTCTCTTAGCTATATTACTTTGATGGTCTTCGAAATTGCATGTTACTACTAAATCTCTTGAAACCACCTGTTTCACTTCGTCTTCTTCTTTATTTTTAACTCTATCACTTACAAAAAAGTTATGTCCTGCAAATGCATACAATCTTGTGTTCAACAATTTAAGTCTTTCAAGTATCAAGATTAAATACTTGCCCTTAATATCACACAC